ATCTAGCAGCGCCAAGTTTTCTTACATATAAAATTTTTTATTTAAATTAAATGTATTCCATTTTGTACTATTACCTCTTTAATTCTTTGTTTATTCTTTGTTTAATTAAATTTTCCATTGGATTCAAATATATATATTTAAAAATTCTTTACAGAAGGATATGCCAGAATATTATATATACTATATATATTGAGATAGAATGAAAGCTACTACCACTTAGCACATATCATTTGAGTTAAGTTAGGTTAAACGCAATTTTATGATATTATTTTGAAAAAGAATTAAAGCTACTATCATTTTATATATATATTTATTGTACCTTCGGCTTTCGCTAAGAAGCGGGACTTGGTTTACAAATAAGGCCTTAAGACACTCATCCCTCCACTCCTATCCACGCATCCATCCATATTCAAATCTAAATACTCGACTTCCTGAATCTTGCCACAACTTATACTTATACTTAATTAATGCCTAGGCATTGCATTGTGTCCCTTCCAATCATCCTACTACATTAAGTATACGAGATACATAAAATACTATACCATATATAACATAACATCACGTATACATAAAATACATATAATATATAACATACATAAAATATATAGAAAACACACCTTCATATACCCCTACCCTTGCATCTCTCTCTCCTCTTCAAGCCTTCCTACTCTTATATCTCTCTTTCTCCTTCCAAAATTTTACTAATACTTTCTCTTTCCTCTCATCCAAACTATCATTCTCCAACCTGCTTATTCTTTCCTCTACGCAGTCTCCCAGTTCCTCAAACCAGTCTTTTGTTATTTCGCATTCTCCTATAAAGTGTACTAGGTTATCCTGCCCCCTCTCACAGAAACTACATTTTCTCTCTTCCTCTTTTAACCAGTACTTATTATCTATTTCCATATTTCCACACCTTAATCTCATTAATGCTCTTATTCCTTCCCCCTTTTCCTTTCCTCTCACTTCATTTACCTCTAAATAGCTAGGTGCTTTATTCTCGATCATAAACCTTCTATACCTTTTATTATATTTTGCTTCCCTAATCCTATGTTCCTCCTCCTGACGTTGTACGTCCCTTTCTCTTTCCCTTATTTCCTCAATT